TGGGTGTCGTAAGAGGAGACTAAAGGAACTTAATGGTCAATGGATAAGCAGCAGCGTATTTATTAAAACATATCCAAGGTCTAACTGCGGTTGCCAACTCGTCTACCAAGCGTGGCAACTACTGGTAAAACCTCCCAATAGAGGGAGGCTTATGTTCAGCAACATACAATTTTTGTGTACAATAAAGTATAAATAAATAAATAAAAAATGTTTTTGCTTCTGTTGTTCATATTAAAACCCCATATTTTTTTTGAAATATCTTCTAAGTATAGGCATCTTCTAGTTACAATTTTATTATATTATTATAGTCTTTCTATCTATTCTATTCAGGTGAGGCGTCAGCTTGTTTGCCATTCTGTGTTGCATAAAAAAATGGTGTACATAATATAGATAAGTATGTCAAAAATAAATAATTATCATATGATTAAATTAAATGTCCATTATTAATATTTATTATTTAAGCACATAAGAAAGAGTAAACTGAACAGAAAAACTAACGAATGAAGAAGTCTTGAAAAGGGTTAATGAGAAACGAACATTAATAAAAACAATAGAGAATAGAAGAGGCAAAATGCTGGGCCGTCTTATACGACATGACGATTTTTTAAAGAGCATAGTAGAAAAGGAAATAGAGGGCAAAAGAGGAAAAGGAAGACCGAGGAATTACACGGGAACAGATAAAAGAAACACTAGGTGTCATGTCATATGGGGAGGTCAAGGATATGACCAGGGATATAGCTGGCTGGAAGAAGATGCATGAATTAGTTGGATCGACAAGAGGAAACTTAAATGAAAAGAGATTAAGATAAAATGCAAAATTAACATTCATACAAAAAAAAAAACAATTAGTCCTCATGATTAGCAGCGCATGGAGGTGTCATAAGCGTCGCATAGTATTTTGTGATGTATGTACATAGCGTTGTTTATGTCTATAGACACCAGTCATCACTTTCTATCAGGTGGGCTGTCAAACTATTTGTCATTTTGAGTTATATAAGATGTAATCGGAGATATTAAAGAAAAATAAATATACACTTAGTTGTGTAGTCCCGGAATAACACCCGAGTCCTCAGGAATGGCAACGCATGGGGGGTATCATGGGCGAAACAGTATATTCTGTTGTGTCCATGGTACTTCTCATGTTTGTAGGCGACGGTTACCACTTTCCATCAGGTGGGCCGTCAGCTTGTTTGCCATTCTAAGTTGTAAAAAAAAACTGCAATTGCTAACCTGCATGCCAATTGCCGAGCGTGGTAACTATTGGCAAAATTCCCCCTTTTTAGGAGAGGTCTATGTTCAGTCGTGGACAGTTGATGTCCGTGGACAGAGGGGAAAGGTAATGGAGACTGAGAAACCCATTGCTAGCAATATACCCAACCAGGTCGACCTCCTCGGGGGTCCCCCTGGAAACTATCATTATTAATTCCTGATGAATTCATCATGATATAACATAACTGGCCTGTTTTCATTCTCATCTATCACCCTTCACTGGTGCTCCGCCAGCGTATCCCATTAGCACAGGCGGAGTTAACGTTACCATACCATTTTCACCCATCAAAAAAATATATATATTTAATCTTAATCAGTAATATTTTGATGATATGAATGATTTATGATCATCGACCATTATCATGCTTTATATATAAATAGTGGACCCATTTTTATTATGTTGTGACAGGCGGTGATTTGATGTCATTGTTGAGATAATATATTGAAATAAGTACGTAATAGATCAAGTGAATGCGTACCTACTTGGATTTATGAGTAGGATCAAGTTTGTTTGTAGGCGGTGAGAATGTTTTGAATAGCACATTAAGAGTAAATTATCTAAATATAATCTATGTACACCTATTATAGTTAATATTATAAAACAGCAAGCACGTTTCTACAAATTGAATTTTTACGCGAAAATTTGTTAGAAAGCAATAGAAAGAATATATATTATTGTTACGACATGGACATCTCTAATCTGTTACGTAGTAAAGGGAGACTTTGTACAAAAGTCGTTTGCTTGGATACCTCTGTCCCATTCGTGTTTCAACCGTGAAGCAGTTGTGTTTGCATGGCTGTGTTTCGGTTTGATGGCTGGGATATGGCGTGAATTTACTGGGTACAGAAGAATAACACCTGAGTCCTCAGGAATGGCAACGCATGGGGGGTATCATGGGCGAAACAGTATACTCTGTTGTGTCCATAGTACTGCTCATGTCTATAGGCGACGGTTACCACTTTCCATCAGGTGGGCCGTCAGCTTGTTTGCCATTCTAAGTTGTATAAAAAAAGACATCTCTAATCTGTTATGTAGTAAATCTTGGGAAAAGTGTAATATTATAGTTTTTTATGACATAGAGAGCAATGCAAGCATGCGGCTCACCTGATGGTAAGCGATTACCGCCGCCTACAGGCACTCGCAACATCAGAAAAATTACAGGTGTGTTGTCGATCTTTTAAGAGTATTCTTTATAGAGCATATGCTTTGCTCTTGAAGATTTCAACGTCGTATCTGTTCGGTAATACTGCTGCTAGGAAGGGATTGTTAATAATGCGGACTATCAGTTCCATTGCTGGCAATATATCCGGCTTTTTATTCTCACCTATCATCCCTCACTGGTGCCCCACCAGCGTACACCACTAGCGCAGGCGGGGTTACCATTCCATTATCATTCATAAAAAAAAAACTTTTCTTAGTTTGGTACTAGATGGCGTTTTCTCCCAATTATTTAGAGTATCAATACAACAAACATAGCAGTATCGATTACGACTTTAGCGTGTCAAATTGCGACAAATTTTATGACAATAACATCAAAAGTAGCAATTATATAATACGACTAGTGTGGTACTATCACTTACTGGAAAGGCAGTGGGCGCGTTGGCGTTGGTACATTCAGGTCAGACGAGCACGTGGGTTTCATTCCGGTATGCGGGACTATTCTGTTATCGCTTTATCGATTGATGAGAGAAAAAAAAATATTGTTTATGGTCTTTAAATACTTAATCCTCTTTGTCTTTGATTTGAACTTATTGTAGACACTAATACGGTTTTAATAGCATTCAGAGATTGATTGCTCAGAAGGAAAGTCATAGGACATAGACAGTCCTTTATATGAAATATTGGTAGTCTCACAAATACTAATGGTAGTGGAATCAAGCAAAATATTTCTAATGAATTATATTACAAACTAGCACATTTCAAATTTAATTAGTTTTTTTTTGATGGGTGAAAATGGTATGGTAACCCCGCCAGCGCTAACAGGATACGCTGGCGGAGCACCAGTGAAGGGTGATCGATGAGAATGAAAACAGGCCAGTTAATTCATCATGACGAATTCACAAGGAATTAACCATGATAGTTTCTAGGGAGAACCGCGAGGAGGTCGACCAGCAATATACCCATATTACTAGCAATGGGATTCTTAGTCTCCATCACTAACAATCCCTTTCCTTTGAACAATACATGCTCGTATTGTCACATAACCATTTGCACGAAACCCTACTCGAACGAGACCAAAACCATCAGAATAACACCTTGTAAATATTTATCAACAGCACAGAACGGTCCGTATTGACAAGCTGTGTGACTCAATTCTAATTCGTCCTTGACGGTACAATACAGTCAGGGACGAATTACAATGAGTGCTGTGAACCTAACACTATTGAATATTTAGCTTATTTTGTTGTTGAATGTACTAATACGTTTGACATTGAAATTGAATTTGGAAAATTCTTTTGATTGAAAAATCGGTCCCGATAGAAATTTTATTAAAATCGGTTCAGCAGTTTTTTTTTTTATGCAACTTAGAATGGCAAACAAGCTGACGGCCCACCTGATGGAAAGTGGTAACCGTCGCCTATAGACATGAGCAGTATCGTGGACATAACAGAGTACACTGTTTCGTCCATGATACCCCCCATGCATTGCAATTCCTGAGACCTCAGGTGTTATTCCTTTGTTCCCTGTAAATTCACGCCATATCCCACCCTTAAAACCGAAACACAGTCATGAAAACACACTGCTTTATGGTTGAAACATGAATGGGACAGAGGTACCCAAGCAAACGACTTTTGTACAAAGTCTAGTAGTTTAGTTTTTAAATCAAAGTAACTGGTTATGCCACAATTGAAGTCGGTTTTTTGGAACACATATTCAATTATTCTTCGTCATAAAGAGGAGTGGGTCAAAATAATCAGTTTTACTCACATTTCTAAAAGCAAGCAAGCAATAAACGCTTTCTAATAAGTGAAAAATTTTATAGATTCTGCATGTTACGATTTTAACGGTATTTTCTAAAGTTTAACTTATAGTCCACTATCACGCTCAGACAATTGGTAACTAAACTGAATAATGAAGTTTTTAGAATTGGTTCAATAACAAAAAAACTTTTGCTTACCTACTTAAATCTTGGCAACATTTTCTTAACCTATTTAAAAATATTAGATCTAGGATTTTTTTAATATTCAACTAGAATGGCAAACAAGCAGACGGCCCACGATTAATTCATAAATGAATGTAATTTTTGTGTACAAATAAATACAAATAAGAGTTTTCATTCGTTCAATTCATTCATTCATCTTGAATGTTACGTTAACCCAAAGGCAACAGTTGATTAAGGCCTTTAACTAGGGCAAAGGGATTGTTAACAGTAGGTTCTAACAGCCCCTTTATTAAGAATATACTCATTGGCCTCCACGCGCCTCCCCCAACTAATCTGCATTCATCGTCACCTATCATCTGTCACTGTCCTACCATCATATACCGATAGCGCAGGCATTACCAATGGGGTTATCTTTCCATTTCTAACCATTAAAAAAAATCTCTTTGACTATACCATTATATAATAATAATAATTATTATTTATTTATTTGCTAAAAAACACGGTATGCAATAGTTAGTAATAATATGTTATGAGCATGCGTGTTTTGCCAAAACAATGGCATGCAAAGTTTTTTTTTTTAGTTTATTATAGTAGTGATCATATATTTTAATATAAAATACAACTTACCCATAATTCCGACCATCTTCTCACTTGATATTCTAGTAAATCACTTTCTAATTACACTTGGTTACAACACTATCACAATATCACAGTATATTTTAAAACACAGTCTTCACAAATCACTAGAAATATATTATTGAATGTATACAGTTCCTTAATTAAAATTGGTAAAGAAATATACGCGACCTGTCTATAAAATTATCCCTAAAATTAAAAAAAATACAGATATATTACTATTATTCCGTCTATGATATACTTAACAATTTCATAGTATAAGCATACTATATAAGTATTTAAAATGTCTTTATGTAAATGTATTTAGAATGTAAATAAACCATTAAAATAATAAATATGTTTAAATAATTTTATCACATAAAAGTCTACTAATTATATCCAACAAAAGTTCTGGAAAACTTGGTATAGAAACAGAACTATCATTATTAGAATTACGATTGATCCCAACCCCTAAAATCTTACACAAAAACCTACTTGGGACCTAACAAACACATGATATTAAAAGGCATCTTTAAAATCGGTTTAAAACTGGCGAAGGTATCGTATGACAAATGTAAACGTATTTAAAATCTCTTTTTTGAAGTCTTTCTTATTTCTTTCTTTAAATTTGTCAATTTAACGCAAATTATAACAAAGTGTCATTTCACAATCGGTTCACTGTCAGGTTTTATTCGCAAACTGATACAAATAATACTGAAGCGCCAATAAGTGAATAGAGTTCTAGTACAATGTTTTCTAACGTAGGGTGGCCATGCTGTAACCCATGAGAGACTGTTTTTACTATTAAATTGTTATTTTACGATTTAAATTTTTTTTTTTTTTCTCTCGACTCTTGACTGACTGATTTCAATTAATATTTCTGGTTATAAAGTGTAAACTCTATTGTAGTATTTCTATTGTAATCTCTAGTGTAACTCTGATATTTTGTAACGAGAGTTATGGATTTTATAATAAACTAGTGATCCGCCCCAACTTCGAACAGGTAAATATAAAGATAAATTACATTTTATATTTAAATAATAATAAACTAATTTTTGATATATTGTCGATTATTATAAACAATTTTCATAGAAATATCTATTATTTTTTAAGTAAAATATAGCCTATGTTATTCGCTGATTAGTATAAATACAAATACTGTGTTTATTTAAAAATACTTATAATCTCTGTCATACGTGACTTTTATATATATTGATTAGCCATGATGACAGTAACCTATATCCTCTTCTAAACCAAATACTATATATATATGTCATATTTCATGGCAATCGATTGAGTCATTAGACGCCAAAAGGTATCCATATCATCCATAAAAATAAAAAAAAACTATTGTCTTATTAACTCTACTACTAAATAATTAAATAGCCATAAAAATTATGTTTCACAAAACAAATCAAACTTCAAATATAACAAAACCAGTTATTCTTATTTAATAACTAAGGTACTAAACAGATTTTGATAAAATTTATATTGGACCAAACTTTAAGTATATCCTTTCAGATAAAAAAAGAATTTTACGAATCGGTTTACAACTGACGGAGTTGCGAGGTACCAAACATAAAAAAAGAACACAACCAAAGAATCGGTTGACAAATAATTAATTGTGCAATAATATATATGTAATATTACTTAATTTTGTGACATATATTTATTAATTTATTAATTTAATAAGGTTCACCTACAACTTTTACATTTTACATGCTTAACCAATAATACAAAAAATAATATTGCCTAATGTAAGTCTTTTACAGGCGAACACCACATGCACTATTATAATATTTAATAATTATTAAACAATGACAATAACAATATCTGAATAATAAATAATAAAATAAAAAAATTGATGTAGATAAATACAATATTCTGACCACTCTACCAAAACCATGGTCACCTTAAGAAATAATGAGCGTTGACAAAAGAAATCGAGCAGTTACAATGGAAAAACAAACGAGTCAAGGCGGTGACGGTAACTTTCGCGATATCTACAGTCTGTGAAGAACGAGATACGCAAAAACGATAATATAGCTCCCCGACAGTTCATCGACAACATCACTTCAACCATTCCACTGCTGAATGTAGACACAGTTATTCTTAGTACATGATGGAATGGTATCCCCGCTTGCAGTATCGGTATACACTGGCGGGGCATCAGTGAGGGACGATAGGTAAGGATATCAGCAAGTTTGCCCACTGTGACGGATTCAACAAGAATTAATCACGATGTTTTCCGGGGAGTGTTGCGTGAAATCGACCTAATGGGTATATTACTAGATACTTTGTTTTTTCAATGGATGATAATGGAATAGTAACCTCGCCTGTGCTATCGGTATACGGTGGCAGGGCACCACTGAGAGATGACAGGTGAGAATGAAAGGGCAGGTCAGTTAGCCCATTGTGATGAATAAACCTGGAATTCAGCACGATAGTTTCCTGCGGGGCCCACGTGAAGGTCGGCCTGACAAGGTATATTGCTAGCAGTGGGACTGGTAGGCCGCGTTACTAACAATTCCTTCCCCCCACATTGCAAACTACCAGGATTAACTTTCCCATTACTAACAACTCTCCCCCCTACACAGTCCTTGCCAGTACCTGCCTTAAGAGATTATTTTTAATGGGGTCGAAAATTAAATTGTAACCCCGCCTGCGATATCGGTATAAGCTGGCAAAGCATTGATGGATGATAGATGAGGATAGAAGCAGGTTAGTTAGCTCTTAGTGACGAATTCACGGAGAATTCAGTACGATGATGTCCACCGAGATCGCGTGGAGGTCGACCTGACATGGATTATTAGTAATAATGGGGTTGCTATATCCGATTACTAGCAATCCCCCCACCCCTTCCACGTAATCTACACCCTATTTATGAGACTAACCTGTAATTATATGCATTCGAATAAAAAAGGAATGTTCCAAATCTGTTTACAAACTGACGAAGTCATGACGTTAAAACTTAATAAAATACACCAGAGGGAGACTTTATACAAAAGTCGTTTGCTTGGGCACCTCTGTCCCATTCGTGTTTTTACCGCGAAGCAGTTATGTTTGCATGGCTGTGTTTCGGTTTGAAGGGTGGGATATGGCAGTGAATTTACAGGGTACAGAGGAATAACACATGAGTCCTCAGGAATGGCAACGCATGGGGAGTATCATGGGCGAAACAGTATACTCTGTTATGTCCATGGTACTGCTCATGTCTATAGGCGACGATTACCACTTTCCATCAGGTGGGCTGTCAGCTTGTTTGCCATTCTAAGTAGCATAAAAAAAAGCTTCATCTTTTTGAAGTCGGTTAAAAACACGTACTGGCTTTCTGTTCGTTTCTGCTACACTCTAACGTATTGTAATATGCCTACCAAGCGAGATATAAAATAGAACTATTCAATTATATTGTATAGGATGCAATCGCAACCACAAGTTGACCACACAATACTGAGCTACTGTTGCAAATATTGTGTTCTATAGAAAACTCCCGGCCGCACATGAAACGCGACGTGTGAATCTGTTTGTTACGTTATTACTCCTAAAGGCCTTCGCAAAATATGAACGTTTTGGCTACAGATAATATTTTTCTTTGAGTAAACCATTGTTACCCAACACGTGTATGATAAAAAAAAATACAATAAAGGGTTAAAAAAATATGGGCTAATTTAGGTCCTTCTCCTTTTGAGTCTATTAAAAATTGATAATTTTCTATGATATTTATTATTATCGTCATTATATCAACCTTTAACTGTCCATTGTTCAATATACCCAACCGAGTCGACCTCCTCGCGGTTCTCCCTGGAAACTATCATGGTTCTTTTTTTTTTGATGGGTGAAAATGGTATGGTAACCCCGCAGGTCGACCATGGTGAATTCATCAGGAATTAACCATCGCGGTATATCCCCAGGTCGAAACTATCATGGTTAATTCCTGATGAATTCATCATGATGGGCTAACTGGCCTGTTTTCATTCTCATCTATCACCCTTCACTGGTGCTCCGCCAGCGTATCCCGTTAGCGCAGGCGGTGTTACCATACCATTTTCAGCTATAAAAGAAAATTGTCCATTGCTAAACATAAGAAATGGGGGATTTTGCTAGTTACCACGCTTGGCAGGCGAATTGGCAACAGCAGTTAGGCTTTGCAGGAAGGCGACTTTTGTGCAAAGTTTTCCTCTAGTAACTTTGAAAAGGTGGTGATTCTTAATTCTTCCATTTTTTTTTTGAGAGCGTTGCCCATACGATTTGTTCACCTTTCTAAACCAAATTTCTAAACCGGTCATATTTTTTAAATTTTGTCCGTCTGCATATTTGTTCCGGCATCACTCAAAAACTACTGCACCAAATCGAATGTAATTTTTACAATTGTATTCCTGAAAGTCTAACTTGAATTCTAGTGTATGTTCCTTCTTGATATATCATCTGCAAGTGGTAGTTATTGGTTTTATTACGTCTAAAAACCACGCGTACGAAGTAGGGGGCAAACACTAGTTAATTATAATACGATAAATCTAGAAATAGGAAGGCAGAGGTCAAATTTGATAAGTCGATTGCATGTTCCACATTATGCATATAACTCGCTTGATATGAATAATTAAAAGACTGTATGCGATGTCTAAAGACGTAAACAGAGCATGAAAATTACCTGTATATTCTGGCAACTTCTAGGTTTTAGGGTTCCCCACAAATATTTTTTTTAATAAGTAAAATGAAATAGTGACCCCGCATACGCTATCGGTATGCACTGGCGGGGCACCAGTAATAGATGATAAGTGAGGATGAAAGCAGGTCAGTTAGACCGTGACGAATCCACAAAAATTAATCACGATGGTTTCCAGTGTTCCGGGGTCACGGGGTTCCGTGTGGAGGTTGACCTGATAGGTTATATTGCTAGCAATGGGGCTCTTAGACCGCATTACTAACAAATGTAACAACCCCTCCCCATATTTTTTTTTATTTATTTTTTTTTTTTTTGGTGGATGAAAATGGAATGGTAACCCCGCCTGCGCTAACGGGATACGCTGGCGAGGCACCAGTGAGGGGTGATCGATGAGAATGAAAACAGGCCAGTTAGCCCATCATAATGAATTCATCAGGAATTAATCATGATAGTTTCCAGGGGGAACCGCGAGGAGGTCGACCTGGTTGGGTATATTGTTAGCAATGGGATTTTTAGTCTCCATTACTATCAATCCCTTTCCCCCCACCCCTCCCCATATTACCATAATAGAATCGTAATGAGGGTTTTTTAATGAGTGATAATGGGAACGGTAAGCCCGCTTGCGTCATCGGCGTAGTGAGTAATGATAGATGAGGATAAAACCAGACCAGTCGGCTCATCGTGACAAATTCATCAGAAATTAATCACAATGGTTTCATAAGAGGACCGCGTGGAGATCACCCTTATAGGATATATTGCAAGCAATGAAGCTTTAAAATTTCATTACTAACAATCCCTTCCCCCCATATGTATTTTTTTTTTGATGGGTGAAAATGGTATGGTAACCCCGCCTGCGCTAACGGGATACGCTGAGCATGAAGGGTGATAGATGAGAATGAAAACACTTAGCCCATCTGATGAATCCTTCAATTAACCATGATAGTTTCCAAGCCGGAACCACTTAGAGGTCGACCTGGTTGGGTATATTGCTAGTAATAGAATTCTCAGTCTCCATTACTAACAATCCCCCCCCCCCATATGTATTCTGACTCGACTTATCATATTTACATCTGGTATCATTTTTATTTAGATTAATCTTTTAACGTGAAACCTGTGATTTAAAAAGGTCAAATAGCCCCATTACTAGTAATATACCCTGTCAGGTCGACCTCCACGTGGTTCCCTCTGGAAACCATCTTGGCTAATTCTATTTGAATTCTTCAGGATGGGCTAACTGACCTGCTTTCATCCTCATCAGTCATTTATCACTGGTGCCCCGCCAGTGTATACCGATAGCGCAGACGGTTACCATACCATTATTATGAAAAAAAAATGTATATATATGTACTAGATTATGACGTAGTTATGAACTGTGTGTACAAGGTCCCTACGTAGTTTACTCACGGTGCGTTTTGTCGGGTGGTCCTTTGTACGTTAACACACTAGTGTAAGGTTTCGCTGCGTCACGTTACACGTATTTGGACCGTGACGAGAACCTGCGTGACGGATGCGCTGGCATCCCGTCACGGGTTCCATAGCAATTGGACATTTTGTGCTTCTGTTGTATTTTAAATTCTATTATTTTTTTTATTGATTATTTTTACCTACATATTTTTTTATATTACCTAACCGAGGTTTATGTTAATAAAATAAATACATTATTGAAGGTAATATTCTGTAGTAATGGGGTCTAATAGGCCACGTATTATTACAATATACCCTCTCAGGTCGATTGCTTGGGTACCTCCCCACGTGGTTTCCCCCGTGAAGATCATGTTTAATTCGTGTCGAATTCATTATGGTGGGCCAACTGATCTACATTCATTCTCATCTATCATCTTCCACTGGTGCCTCGTCGGTGTATACCAATAGCGCGGGCGGGGTTACCATTTCATTTTCACCCATTAAAAAAAACAAGCTTTATGTTAATAAAATAAATACATTATTGAAGTGTAATATTCTGACTAATACTAATTCTGCATTACGTTTATTAAAAAAAAAAAACCAGTGCCTGATGTAGCTAGTTTATAGCTTCGAGAAAAATAAATAGATATGTATAATAATTCGTGATGTTCACTTGCAATAATTTTATTTTGCCCATTGTATATTTGTCCGGGAGGTGCCCCCTAGATCAGTTCGTGCTGAAAAATGTCTCCTATATTTAGAATAGTGAAATTTCACACTTGGATTCAATTAGCTTGTGATTTAAGTATCCATTAATCGTTTGAAACGGAAAACAATTAGTTTATTCCGCTGCTTTGCAATCGTAAATCAAGATATAAAATTTATATTTTTATATTATAAAGTATTCTTAATTTATGGCCTGTATGTATATGAAATTTCATTCAATTCATTCAAAAAACCAAACATTTCATATTAGGTAAATACTTAAAAATGTCAATTTTTAATCAATGATAATAAATTTTGGAACTTTAATTATGAAAAATTCTATATTTTGAATCAACTTTATAAACTATGCGATCACGTGTTTAGTTAACTACGCAATGAAATAAAAAAAAAAAAAAAACATTTTTTGACTCGTGCTCCTTGGCGAAGATAGTTCAGTTTCATGACATTTTATACTGGATATCGAATTCGAATCGAATAACAATAGTAACAAATAACTCTTCCTTTACACTCCGTAAAAGTGGTGACTACTTAATAATAATTTGTTTTGCACTAACTATAGCAAACGATAATAGAGCTACCGACGACTAAAACGACCAAAAACATATTTGTTATTCTATAAACGTGTTCAAAAGTATGTATAAGCATATTAATTGTACAATTAGCATATAACTTGTGTCAGGCCCAGCTCCTCAATGCCTACTAAATAGTCACGAATAACACGATCCAACGTAATATTTGCAAAGATTTGAATGCACCAAGTGTAATAAAAACAATTAATTTTTAACAGTTAGCTATGTACGACTAAATTAGAAAGTATACAATTACATATAAATGGGATGATATCAGGTAAAGCATGCGGACAGTAAGCGAACAGTGAATTGCCAAATATTCATAATGATTTGATATTAGAAAAAAGACCTGTGTAACTAGTTTGAGCGCACGAAAGAATGCGAATTAGCTGATCTGTTATGTATAATATTCATCTCAGTCCAATTACAAAGACGAATTTAGCAAATAGTAAGTATTTTTACGTACCTACTATAATAGAATTTTTTATCATGTTTGAAGTAAAAGCTTCGTTCAATGTCACAACTAATAGTACTTAATCAATAACTATTAGCCCTGTATCTATTTATAACAGTGATTTCATATAGTGACATCGTTCTTTATCTGTTATGTACAAATAGACCAATACACAGTCGTAAACATCCGAATACTTGCATTATCTCAATGCAGCAATGCACACTGCATCGTACCGATCGATAAAAACAACGCACTGCACAAAAGTTTCCCGCGTTTTTTGTTGCCGCGCTTCAAGGGGCGTCACTGTGTTTCAAATATCGCTACATAACATCACTAACAGATACTAATTACATAGTATCACTGTCACAAAACGTGTAAATAAATAACAGTCACATAGTAAAATAATATTCACAGATGCGACACTTACTACGCTCGTGGCGTAACTGAACCGACTACCAGCCGGCAGGGACGGCGCAGGACGCTCACTAGATCGCGTCGTAATTATAACCTAGCCGAGTGGAATAGTAGGGTGGCTGGGTGCCAGCGATGAAAGCGGGCTGTAAACATAAACGGGCGGGTTGGTTGCCCATTCATGCTAGGGGACGGTGCATCGCGACCAATAGCTTCCGCATTCAACGCCCGGTGTTTATAAAAAGTTTACCTGTACTGTGGAACAGTAAAATGTGAGCGGCGTGGCGCCACACGCGAAGGGTTAAAACAAGTATTATTGAAGAAAATAAAATCGTGTATTTCCCTTACATTTTGTTACCAATGGTCTATTTGAATTTGTTTCGTCTAATTATATATCTCTGATTAATAATTAAAAAATCCCATGAAACGATGTTTTCAACTTTTTTTTTATTATATTTTTTTTGTTGGATAAAAATGGATTGATAGCTCCCTACGCTAACGGGATACGCTGGCGGAGCACCAGTGAAGGGTGATCGATGAGAATGAAAACAGGCCAGTTAGCCCATCATGATGAATTCATTAGGAATTAATAATGATAGTTTCCAGGGGGAACCGCGTGGAGGTCGACCTGGTTAGGTATATTGCTAGCAATGGGATTTTTAGTCTCCATTACTAACAATCCCTTTCCCCCTTTATTATATATTGCAATGATAACCCTGTCTGCGCTATCGGTATACGCTGGCGGGGCACCAGTGAGTGATGATAGGTGAGAATGTAAAGGCAAGTCAGTCAGCCCATCGTGATGTATACACTTAGAATTCAGCACGATGGTTTCCAGGGAAGACCACGTGGAGGCCGACCTGACAGATATTGCTAGCAATGGAACTGGTTCTCGTTACTAACAATCCCTTCCCCTCCCCTGTTTATTTACTCTACTACCGCTCTTGGTACGCTCTGAGACAGCTTTTTTTTCAGAGATTTTACGTACCTACCATGCGGTTTCAAAGGAATTTTCTCCCGGTATGATTTTTCTGGGTCGGCAATAAGCACGTGACACCCCTAGTGTATCAGGCATCCATAGACTATAGTGCCCGTTTACCATCAGACGGGCTGTGTGTTCGTTTTCCACGTTTGTGATATAAAAAAAGATTAATGAAATTTTATAAATGTGTTTTATTTGCTCCAATTTGAAAGATAGTTTTTATAGTGTAAGGCAAAATAACGTTATGCGAATCAGCTAGTATTATTAGGTATTTTTTAATTACTTTCAAAGCTTCTATCTACAGCTTTTTAAGTCCGAATTCATATGTGAAACGTTGATATTAATAGATCTGGAATTTGGATTAAAATTACATTTCTAACAGGTTATTTTTTTAATAGATGATAATGGAATGGTAACTCCGCTTGCATTTACGGTATATGCTGGCGGAGCACCAGTGGGATATGATAGGTGAGGATGAAAAGGTCAGTCAGTTAGCCCATCGTAATTAATACACCTGAAATTCGACACAATAATTTCCCGAGGGGACCACGTGGAGGTCGACCTGACAGGGTATATTGCTAGCAATGGGACCGGTAGATCGCAATATTAACAATCCCTTCCCCCCACAAACAGACGTTTAAGTATCTATATTTATCGAACGTATATAAGATATGATGTTTACACAATAATTGCATTCGAAAATCACAGAACGAAATCGTGTTTCATACAAATTAGAATAGAATAGAAAACATTTATTGCCAGTAAACATACAATTACATACAATATAAAATATAAATAACATATACAAGAAGTGTCCCATACTAGGCAAAAGGAACCGGCTCAGCTGAAGCTGTGAGTGTCCAGACGACATATTAAGAAGTGAGTCAATACCAACACAATGGACTATATCCACCATTATATTGTTGCACAAGAAAGGGGACAAAAGTTTATGAATAATTATAGACCCATCCGTCTCATATATAAAATCTTTAAAATATTTTAAACCGCAAAGTATTAGACGATAACCAACTGTAAAATTAATATATTCAACTTTAGACCATATCCATTATTTTTTCGAACAAAGTAAAGAATACAATATCACCTTTACTGCTGCTTTGTAGACTATAGTAAGGCTTTCGACACCCTCGAACATGAGGCAATTTGGTATGCACTTAAAAATCAGGGTTTTTTAAATACATCAGAATATTGAAGAACATATATGGAAACAGTAAAGCAAAAGTAAAGCTAGAAAAAGAAGGAAACCAATATAGAAAGGGGAGTGGTAGGGTGACCCCATATCACCTAAACTTTTCACTGCAGTATTAGAAGAGATCTTTCGTCAACTAAATTGGGATGAGTATGGACTATTAATGAACGGGGAATACCTGTCACATCTGAGATTCGCCGACGATTTAATTTTATTTTCCCCAACAAGAGACAATCTACAAGTAATGCTTAATGAATTAGATAAAGAAAGCCGAAAAGTAGGTTTGGTTATGAACAAAGAAAAAACAAAAATTATGACAAATGGGAAAAAAAGGGAAACTATCTGCATCAACAACAAAAAAATTGAATATGTAGATGAGTATGTATATTTGGGTCAAATAATTTCACCAACAGACTTAACTACAAAGGAGATTGAAAAACGGAAATGCCTGGAAACGATTTTGGAGTCTAAAGGAAATACTTAAAAGCAAAATGACAAACACAGCCTTAAAAGGTAAACTATTTACCAGAGGTGACTTTGTACAAAAGTCTCTCTCCTCTGTCCCATTCGTGTTTCATAAACCTTGTGTTTGATATTGTGTTTCGGTGAGAAGAATATGGCGATTGTTACTGTAATGGGGAGTCCTCAGGAATGGCAACCATGGGGGTATCAATATACTTTGTTATGTCCAGGTACTGCTCATGTCTATAGGCGACGGTTACCACTTTCCATCATCCCGTAATTGTTTGCCATTCTAAGTTCTATAAAAAAAAAAAAAAAAAAAAAAAAAAAAAAAAAAAAAAAAAAAATATTTGAAACCTGTATTTTACCAGTTCTTACATATGGTTGCCAAACCTGGGCTCTTACCAAATCCCACTTTAAAAAACTACAAAATTGCCAGAATGCCATGGACAGAAGTATGATGGGGATAAGATTATCAGACAGAATTAAAACTAGCACAATTAAAAAACACATAAAAACTAAAGATGTTACAGTCACAGTTAAAAAACTTAAATGGAAATGGGCAGGGCATACAATTAGAGGAGAGATAAATGGAGTAAAAAGATAATGTTTTGGTACAAAAGACAAAAAAAGGAGAAGAGGAAGACCACATAGAAGATGGGTAGATGACATATATATAGCAGGGGGTATTTGGACAAGAATTGTTAGTAATAGAGACCATTGAGACAGTTGGAGGAGGCCTTTGCTAATAAGCAAACAGACAACAGCAATTAAATAATAAGATGTTAATACGTTGTTTTTTAAAAAAAAATGTCTGAATAAAGGCTTATATTATTATTATTATTATTATTACTAACAATCCCTTTCCCCCCTTTATTATATATTGGAATGATAACCCTGTCTGCGCTATCGGTATACGCTGGCGGGGCACCAGTGAGTGATGATAGGTGAGAATGTAAAGGCAAGTCAGTCAGCCCATCGTGATTTATACACTTAGAATTCAGCACGATGGTTTCCAGGGAAGACCACGTGGAGGCCGACCTGACAGATATTGCTAGCAATGGAACTGGTTCTCGTTACTAACAATCCCTTCCCCTCCCCTGTTTATTTACTCTACTACCGCTCTTGGTACGCTCTGAGACAGCTTTTTTTTCAGAGATATATATATATATATATATATATATATATATATATATATATATATATATGTATCAGGCATATAGACTATAGTGCCCGTATATATAATCAGACGGGCTGTGTGTTCGTTTTCCATATATATAAAAAAAGATATATATAAATGTGTTTTATTTGCTCCAATTTGAAAGATAGTTTTTATAGTGTAAGAGCAAAATAACGTTATGCGAATCAGCTAGTATTATTAAAAATTACTTTCAAAGCTTCTATCTACAGCTTTTTAAGTCCGAATTCATATGTGAAACGTTGATATTAATAGATCTGGATTTGGATTAAAATTACATTTCTAACAGGTTATTTTTTTAATAGATGATAATGGAATGATCCGCTTGCATTTACGGTATATGCTGGCGGAGCACCAGTGGGATATGATAGGTGAGGATGAAAAGGTCAGTCAGTTAGCCCATCGTAATTAATACACCTGAAATTCGACACAATAATTTCCCGAGGGGACCACGTGGAGGTCGACCTGACAGGGTATATTGCTAGCAATGGGACCGGTAGATCGCAATATTAACAATCCCTTCCCCCCACAAACAGACGTTTAAGTATCTATATTTATCGAACGTATATAAGATATGATGTTTACACAATAATTGCATTCGAAAATCACAGAACGAAATCGTGTTTCATACAAATTAGAATAGAATAGAAAGCATTTATTGCCAGTAAACATACAATTACATACAATATAAAATATAAATAACATATACAAGAAGTGTCCCATACTAGGCAAAAGGAACCGGCTCAGCTGAAGCTGTGAGTGTCCAGCGCAATGTGAACAGCTGCACAGCGCTCGTTTTCAGCCAGTCCGTCTTTTAACAAAATATAACTAAGGTGCAGGGTACCACTGTAAAATTAACAACTTACCTATCCATATTTTTCTTCTATAAAATGAAATATGTATTTACCCCCTTATTCATATATATATTTTTTATACAACTGAATTTGACGGCCCACAGAGACATTATACTGTTTCGCCCATGTATGTTGCCATTCAACTCAGGTGTTATTCTTCTGTACCCAGTAAATTCGATATCCCATTCTTCAAACACACAGCCATGGCTTCACGAAACACAAATGAGACAGAGAGAAAGCAATCGACTTTTGTACATTAAGTCTCCCTCTCTATGGTGATGGGAAAGTCTCTCTCCCTCCTCCTATAAACCTATTTCGACTATTACATTGTGAGAGAAAGCGATTGTTAGTAATGGGGAGGTTACTCCATCGCTGTCAACATACCTTATCAAGTCTTTTGACCTCCACGCGGTCGCCCTAAACCATCGTGTAATTTATCGTTGACCGTGAACCAATTGTCTCACTGGTGCCCCGCTAGTGTATGATAGCGCAGGCAGGGTATATTCCATTATCATCCATCAAAAAAAAAACTATTACACTGTTTTATTGCTTTTTTTCAAATTGGAATTTCCAAGAAACTATAAAAGAAAGAGACAAAACAGGACAAAAGCTTAAACAGGTTTATAATATATATACATACCATATATATAATATTAGTATATACCAGAGGGAGACTGTACGAGTCTTTTGCTTGGGTACCTCTGTCCCCTGTTTCTACAGAGAAGCAGTTTGTTTGCATGGCTGTGTTTCGGTTTGAAGGGTGGGATATGGCAGTGAATTTATAAGGTACAGAGAAGTAACACCTACATAAGATCTTAGGAATAATAACGCATGGGACAATTAGGAATAATAACGAAACAGTATACTCTGTTATGTCCATGGTACTGCTCATGTCTATAGGCGACGTTGCCACTTTCCATCAGGTGGGCCTTCAGCTTGTTTGTCATTCTAAGTTGCATACAAAAAATTATGTATTTACAAAAAAGCTGTTAAATATTTGTCAAAACGATGGTTACTCTCCATAGCAAAACCTCTGCTTAACTCATAATTAGATGGCGCTTAGTCGATTATACGTCAATTATAAATTAAACTTTAAAAGGGGATTCTACGTTCGATTGTATTTTCTTTTTTGGTATCTTTGACAATTCTATACATACAAATTAAACTGAAGAAAAAGCTTGTAAAAGACCTTAACTTAAACTGGGGGCCTCATTCAACTTTGCCGTCCCGGGCCTTTGACGGCCTCAGTCCGCCATTGTATGCGAATCATTTTGTTATTTTTACAGGAATCTAATACTTATTCTAATCTATCCAGTTCGGAATGCATATTTACCCAAGAAATGCGGGATATACTTCACTGGACAACTGTATATTTTAATAATATAATAAAATTGTAACTGAAAGATGAGTGTACATGGGAGACATTTTAGAAAAAAAAAATGTATGAGGTGTTTTAATAAGATAAATAGGAGACAAAATAATTATAAGAAATTTTGTGTTTATTTCGGAATCACGCAAAAACTACTGCATAAATGGATACGATTTTTGAAGTTGCATTTCTGAAGATATAACTTAAAAACCGGTGTATGTTTTATCTTAATACGTCATCCAAGTGGTTTTTTAATTGGTTTTCCAATTTTTGAAAAACTAGTCTTACATAACATTCTTCAGGATCTAGTTTGGTTCGGGTGTCTTAAAAAAAAGTACTTATTTATTTCATACAAACTTTATTTAAATCAAAAAATAAAATCTACAATAATCCTTTACTTTAAAATTAATATGTATAGTAATAAATTTGTTTTAGCTTCTCAATCTTTACGTTGCAGGTTTCACCGTCCACCTCTTCAAGGCAATAACAACCCTTAGGTCACATCGTCACCCATCTTTATCCGTCACTTACATCACAATTAATAAAAAAAAAAAACAAAAGACACTGGGTTCTCACATAAAATATCAATATAAATACCATTTTCTAAGAAAAACCTGTTTAGCCCTGTCCAGACTATTTAATAATTTAATGGTGGCAATTCATTTAGTAAAAAAGTACTCATTTTCGATTAATGCTGTTAAGACATATTTAACTACTAAATTACTTGCCACCCGACTAATTTACTAAAGCAGTCTGAATTGAACATACTTAGTGGTTGCTATATAATATCAAAAATTATATGAATACACCACCAAAATAAATATTTTTTTAGGTTTTCTTAGAAATGTATTGGCACACAGAACTCGCCTCGTCGTGACAAAAATTCAGAAATATATTCCTCTCAAATTTAAATATAGAAATCATGAATTTTATTAAACAATACCGAAATTATTGGTACGGTATAACATTACAAAATTGGCCTTAATATAAGAGATTACATCTCTAGATATCGCATTTAAAAAGAGAGAAACACATTTCGAATCTGTCCACTGGTACAATTCTCCAACAAACTAACTTTGACTAGACTTGTTCCGAACTAGCAATGTTCCATGTTTCTCATTTTGTGTTCATCGTTCAAGGAAACATTTGTTTCTTTATTGTAAAAAAATCTCGTAATTATGGATTTTTTTTTTATATTTGAATTGTAATGTTAATATACATTTATTTATTTATTATATTAGTATTACTAAGTCTTCGTATTGAAAACAAATAATCAATGATATGCTAAGATTTATATGTAGATAAAAAGCTCCACTGCATTTCACTTTCTACTGTATCTGACCACCCCAATGGGATTAGAGTATTATATTGTTAAGTAGTAAGAAGAGACATTATACAAATAACACGTTATTCATAATTATCACATCTTTTAATGGCGCGAAGAATTGAATGGAAACAATTTAGTTGAAAGATTTAAGTAGCACAAATCTTACTTGATCATTAGTAAACCAAGTGCAGGATTAAAGAATCCTTTATTATTGATACACTTAAAAATGTTTATTATTTAGAAATACTAACATAGTAAGATGAGCTACTAGGGAATATGTCCAATTCGGAACAAATTTATTGCAAGTCATACATAAATATGCGACTACTCTATACCATTTCAAATCCATCGATATTACCATTCAATTGAATATAACATTAACGTACAATTAAATTTTGATATGTAAAACCGAGTTTTTGTAATATTGTCCATATAGTATATTCAGCAACATAGTTTTGTATATCAAAATTAAATTGTTACAGTTCTGTGTGACAAATCTATTTAACGTTAGACGTAAATGACAGAATTTCACTAAAAAAACTCTTTTACGATATTACTTAACAGTTTATATTAAATCTTTTACAGCTTAATTACAATGCAATAAATTTTTATATTTTAATAAAAAATACATATCTCATTTATCAAAGAACACTTCACCTAATTCATTTGTTGTCAAGTCGGTAACAAGTGAGGCACATTATTATAATCTTTATTAGCCCGACATAACGGGTTTATATACATCGAATGCTACGCCTAATATTCATATACACTATATATATGCTTCAGTCCTTAGGTACTTTCAATCAAATCATTTTAAGTTCAGTTTAACATTTTAAATTTTACAATAATAAATTCACATTAACAACAAATTGCATCGCAAACCGTATTTGGTTACTACTCAATGGTCTCATGATCACAATACTTTTAGTTTAAAACGTAACGTTACATATATTGCATGGTATTGGAAACTAAGATGGCTGGGTATAGATAAAGATACAGTATACAGGTGCACGGGCTTAATAACATTGTTATAATTATTACACCCATACCATTATTTTATTTTGCTTTTGACGGCTGGTTGAGAATATATTTATTTCATAGTCTGTTATTATTTTTAACAGACTTCTAAAAAAAATTTACATTTCGGTTGATCATTTCATTTATCTACCGTTTTGGAAAATTCTTTTTATCTGAAAGGATATACCTTTAGATTGGTCCCGTAGAAATTTTATCAAAATCGGTTTTAGTAGTTTAGTTTTTAAATTAAAATAACTAGTCTTGCCACGTTGGAAGTAAATGTTTTCTTTTTTTTTGTGGTATAACGTCTTAAATTGTTATTAATGGCAACTCGTCAACTTTTTATTAGAGAATACTTTTGCTTGTTTAGTTTCATAGTCAATTTTAAAATTTGAAGTAAGAAAAATATCCTAACCTCTACTAAAGAAGGTGAGCAGTCAAAAGTAACATAAAACAATTAAATGAGTGTCAGATCAGAACTTGTATAAAAAAAATGGGATTTAAAAATACTTCTTGTGCCCAGGTTATAAATGTCCCATTTTATTTTGTACAAATTAAAAATTAAGGTTAACAAGCCACTTCATGTTAGAGAATTCATGGTAAAAATTTTCCTTTTTTCACGAATCAGTTTTATGGAATTTTATAAAGATACACGCACGGTCTAAGGAACTAAGAAAAGGCGAGCACAATAGATGCAGAATATTGCAGTGTTTACAGGTTTCACCTGAGATAGTCCAAATTTCAAATAATAATAATGATCGAATCTTGAAAGCATCCATGTCGTATCGATTCGGAAATATCACTGCTTAAACATTTTAAACTATGTACTACAATTTTTTTTAATTTAAAATTCTTTAATCAGCCAGAAGGCACATATCAACTTGTATAAATCACTTGCATTTTTTTCGCTTGCTTATATGTTTATTGAAAAACACCTGAAACACAATTAGCATGAAACTCAAACATGAAATAGGCTAGTAAGCATATTAATTGTTGAGACCGTATTTAACAATATACATTCTCAAAATTCTTAATGGCAAATTGTCAATGAATATGCTGTAATTCCACTAATAAGTATGCATCTAAAGCAGACAAGATTTGTAGAAAACTCTCTATCACATAGTACCTTAATTTTGAGATGTGTAACATTATATACCCAATTTTATAGATATGTTTCTGTCGAGCAACACTCCAATGATCAAAGAACACCATCAAACATAGATACGACTGGTCCATTTTGAGTCATTACAACACATAATGAGAAACGAATAAAGCTCTTCAAGGAAGTACATAAACAATTCTTTTCCCAAAAGAATAACTTCTATGTTATTAAATAGCTACATTTGTATAGAAAAAATAAATTTTGCATAATAATTTTAAATGAAAATTTTGATGATGATCGTACAAACATGTCTCTGTACACATCTACATATTTATACAATTATAATAGCACTCCTTAATTAACAGGTTTGAGAAAAGCACTCTCGGTAATAGTACCCACAATTTTTATATTCTAATAAAGTACGCCATTCACAAGATCGCTGTTTAACACGTCTCGCAAAAGGTGCTATATAATTATAATATTCATCTGAAAGTCGTACGCGCGTAGCCTCTGCTTCGACATTAAAATAAGGAAAATTAGTTTCCCACATCTGTCTAAAGTTAAATGCAATATGATATAGATATAAATATAGTTAAAATAAATATCTATAGGGCTTACTTGATCTGCCTGGTCCACGTGTTAAACTTACATGGTAAAATATTCAATATACTCCTTTGTACTATTGTTCATATTCGAATGCGACCCAGCAAATGCCGGGTCGCGATAACTGGACACATCACTGGAATCGGAATAAGAGGTACAAGTATAAAATCTACAGTCGAAAGTGGAGCGAGGTACCTACCTAACAGTTACAAAACTAAACGGGAACTACTTAACGCTAAATCAGAGTCGGGGCGAGCGACAAAAACAAAAATCAACAACAGAAATTTAACCGTATACGACGCAGTCATCTTTGGATCTCCCGCACGACTCGGCGGCCGGACCGATAAAATATGAAACGTCAAAGAGTACTTTGGCAGTACTAGAAGGCACCGTTTTCCCCCACGCTCACAGGTAACCACAATTTACACTACTTAACTAGGCGCGGCCTTGGCCGCTACTTGGCGAGCCGCCGCCGCAGGCGGTTCCGCAGCGCCAACGCCGGCGCCCACGGACCCGACGACCGCTTGCCGAGCGCCCGCACGCAGCGCTCGCTCGCCAGCCGCGCCGCCTTGCCTCCGCCGGCCGCCGCCGCCGCCGCCGCCGCGTCGTCGCAGCGCGGCCGCTTGGCGGGCGGCTCGCGGGGTGGCCGCGCCGGCTCGGCGGCGTCGTTGCGCGAGCGCAGCGCGCGCGGGCGCGGGCGCGGCTCGGGCGTGGTGGAGTGCACGTCGACGCTACCGGCGCGGCGCGGGCGCGGGCGCGGCGACGGGCAGCGCGGCGGCGGCGGCGGCGGCGCGGGCGCGGCGCGGGCGCGCGCGCGCGGCGTCGCGGCGCCGAGGTTCTCCTTCGAGCGGCCCGCGCGCAGCCGCGCCGCGCCCGCAGCCCGCGCCGCCGGGGCCCGCCGCGCCGGCCCCGGGGCGCGCGCCGAGTTTCCCGCCCGCGCCGCCGCCGCCGCGCGCAGCTCGCGCGCCACGCCGCTGATGCTGCGCGTGATCTTCTGCGCGAGCGGGGTCGCCGGCGCGCCGTGCGACCGCGTCGTGCGCGCGCCCCGCCGCGCCTCGTCCTCGGCGAGCACGGGCGGCGCCGGCTCGGCCGGCGGCGGCGCGGGCCGGCGCGGCGGCGGCCTCGTGTCGGCGGGCGCGGCGGCGGCCGGCCCGGGCGGCGCGGGGGGTGCACGCCGACTGAGGATGACGACGCGGTCGAGCGGGGCCGGGCCGACGGGGCGCGCTCGAGTCGCCGTCTGTCGCGTGTGCGGTCGCTGCTGAGTCTCCTCGTGGTGTGAGCGCAGCACGCGGTCGTTGGGTGCAGCCGGAATCTCGCGACGTAGGTCGGCGCGGGGCCGCCGCCCGCGGGGTCGCGGCGGCGCCTCGATCGGCGAGCTCGATGAAACCTCGTTAATCTGGATGCCGCCGTCGTCGGTAACCGGTCCCGAATCGTCGGCGGCGCGGGCCCCGTCGTCGGGCGGCTCCTCGTCGGGCGGCGCGTGGCCCGGGTCGACGCCTCCGTCGCCCGCGACCTCGGGGAGTAAGGTGGCGGACGGCGGCGGAGGCGACGGTTCCGGCGCGTCGTCGACGTCGGGCGCGTGGCCGCTCGCGATCTCGTCGTAGACGTCAGCGAGCGTATTAACGACTCTGCTCCGGTTGAGCAGGCGGGCCATAAAATATGACTCGGCGGGGTTGCCGTAGGTGGTGAGCACGTCACCGTCATCGCCGTCGGCGGTGTCGCGCTGCGCGTCGTCTTGCGGCGCGACGGAGAGACGGCCGTCGATAGTGGCGCAGGGCGGCAAGGGCGGCGGTGGTGGCGGCCGGTCGGGCCCGCGGTCCACGTCCGAGTACCGAGTCATGATGGTAAGCCCGTTTTGCGGCACTGGCCGCGCCTCCGCCTCGGCGGGCTCGGGGCCGGCGGTGACGGGGGCGGTAGCGGCGACTGCGGCTGGTGGAGGCACGGGGGCGGGGGCGGAGGTCTGCGGCTTCTGCGAGGTGCGCGAGCGAAGCACGGTCGCGCGCGGTGGACCAGGCGGGTCCAGCATTAATGTTACGACCGATGTGTTGTCTGCTCTCATACGGGTATTGGACCACCTGCCAAAATTACCATAATTATCAATGTAACATTTTAATACAATTGTTTATATATCTATGCTGTATAATTATATAGCATATAAGTCCTTATGTAATTTTTGTTAAGATTATGAAACTAGCCACTCACTCTAAAAAACTGATTAAAATATAAAACAATTTTTTTATTTTTAATAGCAAATTAATAATGTGAACATGTGAGTTTGTATACAAGACAACTTTTGCTTATCCCTTTGTTCATCTTTATGAAAAGCTATTCAGTTTCAAATAAATAAGCTAGATTTTAAGTTATCCTTTATCTTTTCAGTAACACTATATTATTACATAATCCTTATCACTTTAAAATGTTATTTTCAAATTACTTATTATTGAAAAGTGTGTATACCTTTCTAGGGCATGATCTACTAGACTTTTTGATGGATTAAGCCAATCTCTGGGTTGGCTACTGTTGCCCCCCACTAAGGCAGCCTCATTATGTTTTTCTGTCGCTTGGACTAAGTTCACAGCACCTTCTGGAGATATCATATTCCACAATCCATCAGTTCCAAAAATTAAACACCTGAAAAAAAAATTATAACATTGATATTAATCAGTTAAATAATGAACGATTTTTACTCAACTGCCCAAAAGAGTGTAATGTTTTCACAGTTTAAATGTAGTCTACTACAACTTCTAAATGCATAAATAAATTTGAATATATATCATTTGAATCCTTATACACTTAAACTACAATTTTTTTTATATATTTATATAGTTAGCAGGAACTTGTGTTTTTTTTTTATTTGCAAAGGAAAATGTACTAGGTAATTGAGGAAGCAGAAATACCTGCTTTTTTGTTCTTTATGAAGTATAAACAAGTCTAAAGAGACTAGAATCTTTTATCAAGAGAGCACTACACCCAGATATTTACTGGTTTCTTAAGACAAGGGACTATAATATAAAAATTTTCAACCAACTTCTAAAAGAAAGGACCTCCTCAACACAGTTGTATTTATTTGTTTGTATATTATCTCATAACTCATCAGTTATAACCTAATTTGAAAAATTCTATCTGAAAGGATCAGTAGTTTAGTTTTTAAATCAAACTAACTGCTTTTAACACAATTGAAGTAGATAGATGCATTATAAATATAAACAATTATAAAATTATTCTGAGAAAACAATAGGCTTTCTTATCATTAAGAGTAATCTCTTTCAAGCAACCTTTGTCAGATAAATTAGTAAATATGTACCCAAGAATGGAATACTTACCGAAACTTTGAAGGGTCGATTGTTAATACACCAACATCGGGGTCGGGACTAACTATGAACTCATCATTTTGTGGATTATAACTCCATAGATCACCCAGAGAACGTGCTACAGCCAAGAAGGGGATTTCATCCATTGGTGTGTTCTTTTTTATGGGCCCCTTGTGGCCTATCCTTGGTCTATTCCATACAACTCGTGGAACACCAGCCTTTGATATTACTTTTCCACCACATCTTTGGATTCTTTCTATTTCTGCGGTGGATTCTGGTTTATGGTCTGACGTTAGTGGTTTAGCAGCCCATTCTTCAGAACCTTAAAAAATATATTATTTATGGAATTTAAAACATGTTTCAAATTAGTTTTTGCTGTAGTTACTTAATTTTGCCACATAATTTTTTTTATATAAAGATAACAAACACATTACATATATTATTTAAAATAGGTTGTTAGTATAACAATTATAATATATGTAAATAGATAGAATTAAAAAAACTTATTAACATTACAGTGACAAAATCCTCTGTATTGTTTTTTTTATGCAACTTAGAATGGCAAACAAGCTGACAGCCCACCTGATGGAAAGTGGTAACCTTCACCTGTAGACATGAGCAGTATTGTGGACATAATAATGTATACTATTTCACCCATGATACCCTCCATGCATTGGCCTTCCTGAGGACTCAGGTGTTATTTTTGCCACATCCTACCCTTTGAACTGAGACACAGCCATGCAAACACAACTGTTTTACGATAGAAACACGAATGGGACAGAGGTGCCTAAGCAAACTACTTTTGTAAAAACTCTCTCTCTGGTGGTTACTATTATTTACTGACTAAAATATGTCTTCTTGTAGCACTCAATCACTTTGGCCAGGATGACACCTATAGAGTAACTTTTTTTATGATCTACCCACTTTAATACACAACAGTTACATTTCCATTAACAAACTAAAGTGATTTATATGTAATCCTACTAATATCATATACATCAAAGTTTATTAAAGATATTTATATGTTCTTTTTGATGGGTGAAAATGGTATGGTAACCCCGCCTGCGCTAACGGGATACACTGGCAGGGCACTAGTGAAGGGTGATTGATGGGGATGAAACCAGGCCAGTTAGCCAACCATGATGAATTCATCAGGAATTAATCATGATAATTTCTAGAGGGAACCGTGAGGAGGTAGACCTGGTTGGATATATTGCTAGCAATGGGGTTCTCAGTCTCCATTACTAACAATCCCTTTCCCCCTACATGAATAGATTTTTTTTAATTGGATGAAAATGGAATGGTAACCCCATCTGCGCTAACGAGATACGCTGGCGGAGCACCAGTGAAGGGTGATCAATGAGGATGAAAACAGGCCAGTTAGCCCACCATGATGAATTCATCAGGAATTAATTATGATAGTTTCCAGAGGCAACCACGGGGAGGTCGACCTGGTTGGGTATATTGCTAGCAATGGGATTCTTAGTTTTGATTACTAACATGAATAAGTTATATCCTAAAATATAGAATACTTTATATACTAATGCATGCAGGTGCTTGCGGGAAAGATAGTTTGGTAACTAAATAGCCAGGTGAAAGGATATAAATATATGCAGAACATGAAATATTAAATTCTAAGTTATTATGGCCTTTAGGTATTCACATAGCCTATAATTGCAGAAAATCATCTCATTGCCCAGAATACCATACCATAAGAGAGAACTGTTTTCTGCATAGCTAATTACAATTATAAGCCTATTTGAAATATTAATTTTTAGGATTATGGTCCATATTTAAAATTATTTGTTTATAATTTTATTTGAATGTTCAATAAAAACTTACCATCTTTTTGGTAGCCAAGTACAATAGCAGAATCTCCGACGTGTCCAATGTATATTTTCCCTCTCCTTATGAATGCCACACTGGCAGTAGTGCCAGCGGTGCTTGGCAAACCCGTTACTGTTTTTGGCCATTTTTCTGAAAAAAAAAAAGTACAAATTTTTAAAGGATTATGAATTTTAATTAGTAAAGCTTGTTATTAACACCTAATACTCATCATAACTTAGATTTTTCATAACAAATTTGTCATCTTCAAAATAAAAAAAAAAAGGTGATGAAATACATAATGCCCAATCTATGTGTCTTTTATGTAAATATTTTTTTGTTTTTGAAGTTTTTCTTAAATTATACAATTTATTATGATATTAAGTGTATTGATTAGTATTATACTGCTGTTGCTCAAAAATCTATAGTAATATATATTAAGATATAAAACAGTTGTTTATTTTGTAAGTAATGTATTCTCTCCTCAGAAGCTTGATGTGTGCTAGTTTCATCAAAATATTTTCTTACTAAGTATAATGATAAATGTGCTTAACTGTCTTTAAATGTATAAACTAGCGGCCTGTCCCTGCGTCGCACTAGTAGACCTTTTTCACTGCTTTGCTTCTATTGATTGTGGCATGATGAAAAGTATACTATAACCGGCCCAGGAGTATGAAGAATAATTGTACTGAGTTTTCTTAAAATCTGTCAAGTAGTTTTTGTTTCTATAACAAACATACAGACAGAGAAACAAAAATTTTACTGATTGCATTTTTGGCATTAGTATCGATCATAATCACCCCCTGATAGTTATTTTGGAAATATATCTCATGTACAGAATTGACCTCTCTACAGATTTATTATAAGTATAGATAAATAAATAAATGAATAAAAAAAAGTATTTCACTTATAGTATTATGAATGTATTTTATTCACAACTTTTAGATGTTGTTTCTGCTTTAGATTTTTTCTTGGCAGCTTAACAACTCAATGGCTATGACATTTAGTATATTATTCATATACAAAATTTCATTAGAAGAATAGTATTTTAAATGTTCACAATTTACAGTAGTGTATAAACAATTGTGTCCTATCTTTTAACCAAAATATAACAGTGGATACACTTAACAGCTTGAATGAAAAACTTTTTGTATCAATTGATAAATTATCTATCAGTATCTGATGTTATACTTTTGTGTTTTAATTTTAAATAATTTAAGTAATTACAAAAATATAATGTAAAATTATTTAACAAAATATGCCAAGACTTATAAAACATAAATATAAATCTCATTTGGGGCAAAACCTATTTTTTTTTTTATATCTATAGATTGTTATTAAAATATTGTGCAATATTCAACTTAAATAACAAAACTTAAAATAAATTTCGTCTGAAATGTAGATTGGCATAACATAAGACTTTCATAAGAGGAAACTTTGCTTAACACAAAAACTGAAACCAGAAAAACTGCTTTCACTTTGCAGTGATAAGTTCCCCAAAAACACAGGAGTATTACAAATAGTAATTTTATTATCCTCTCCGATTAATAAACATACAAAACAATAAAAAGTGTATAAACTTTTATAGATTCAATGTCAAACTACAAGAAAAAATAATAACCCATCTAACAAGGTCACACAAACATTTTACAATCACTTTGAATTCTCCTTGAATTTAACTTAATTCATTACAAAGCGACTTTATGCAAGATAATTTCAGGTGTAAAGGGTTTGAATGTTTACCTAATTCTTTCCACATGTTCAAATGGGTCAACATGTAACCATTTCTGATAGCTTTCAGAACGTCCTCATCATTGTCAGACCAGAATTGTCTTTGCTTCACAATGGAGTCCATCAAATGTTCTTTAGCAAATGCTGCCGCCTCGCTCCCGCCATGCCCATCATATATTCCGAAGAAAGCGTACTCCAAATCTCTCTCATCTTCAGTTTGTTGATAAGCAACGGAAAACAAATCTTCCATATACTTTCTCCCGCCTTGGCTGCAGTGGCCAGTCACTCGTAAATTAACGCCAATTGATGCAGGCATTTTATAACTATAGCACTACGATTAATAATAAAAATTACGATTTCATTGTTACACAAACGTTTTCCTCCTTAGACATTTTGCATTTTGCAATTACGCGAGTCGCAACTGACGACAGATCACGTGGACATATTGATCAGTACGCGTGCCCAGATTAACTAAAGGGGTTTCCGATAAGTAAGAGAAGGATAAACATATAGTCATACGTAGCGTCTCATAAAAAAATGGACGCCATCAGTTTTCCGCCATTTTCATTTATGACTCAACATAACGCCTCTTTATATATATGTCTTTTTTTATGTAGTTTTTTGTAGTGTTTTCATTAAAAATTATAGTTTTGAAATTAAATTAATTTATTTAAAAATTATATTTGATACAATTTTTTTATATATAATTATATTCAAATATATAACTGCAAAACGGAAATCATCAAAACTGTAAGCTTTTTTTAACGTTCGGAAATCAGAAATGTGGATTTTTTTATTGAATGTTATTAAACTTTTCTGTTTGAATTTTTTTTACACAGTAATTTTCTTTACATAATTCTTAAACATATTGTGATAAATAATTGTGTTATGTGATTATAATAATGTGTAACTAGGAATTAATTCAAATCATTATTAAAATTATGTTAATAAAGCCAAGACATTGGGAAAGACAATGTAGTCTCTTTAAGAGTTTGCACTCCATAGCACTTAATGAAAGTGAGACTCGACAAGGTAGAGGATTAATGCAACCGCTAAGACATATCAACATAATGTAAAATTGTGTTCATTTAGACTTTAATATACCATCCTACAAGCAAGATGAAACTATGGTTACCTTTCTGTTACTGGTTAGTTAAACTCACGACAGATTTAATTCTATATCTAAATAAAATATAGCTCTTTACTTTTTGAAATATTATTTCTTCCTAAATATCTTCATACTAAATAACAGATTCTATTAATCATTGTGTTCCATAAAAAAACCGACTTGAATTATGAAAAACCAATTATTTTGATCTAAAAACTAAATAACTGAAACAATTGTGATAACATTTCTAAAGGACCTATTTTTAAGTATATCCTTTTAGATAAAAAAAATTCCAAATCAGTTTAAAATTGACAGAGTTATAGGAAACAAACACAAAAAGCAACTGAATTGTGACTTCTTTTTGAAGTAGGTGAAAAATAAAAGAATATTTATAGCATTCTACAATTACTTATACTTTTATTTATAATATCTGTAGCTATGGATTGACATCAATAGATATTACGATAGACCTATTTTTTTTATGGGTGATGATGGAATAGTAACCTTGCCTACGTTATTGGCATACATTGTTGGGTCACCTGTGAAGGGTGACAGGGGAGGATGATGTCAGGTCAGTTGGCCCATAGTGACCACTTTAACAAAAAATAATCACTATGGTTTCCAGAGGGAACTGAGTAGAGGTCAACCTGATAGGGTGTATTCGTAGCAATGAGGTTGTTAAATCTCATTACTAACAATCCTTATCCTTCAACCTGACTATGTTATATATAAAATTAGAAACCACAATTGACATTTGTAGCACAGATTTCCTACAAATTTTTTTTCCTTACAGTATCATAGACCTGGAATTCTAATCTTGTTTCACATCAGTAGAATCAATTGATAAATGCTTATAATTATTTAATATAATCATGATACCCAAGATATTGTTATGATAAAGTCATGAGAGAAAGCTAGTCAAGGATATTTATTTATTTATGCTTTATTGACCACATTACAAAAAAAAAATGTCTGGTACAAAAGGCGGACTTAATAGTATATAGCATTCTCCCCCAGTCAACTTTTATATATGATATAGGATATATGATCATTATACCAATTTATGAAACAGAAGATACTAATTTCACAGATAATACTAAGTAATATAAAACTAATACAACTTTAGCATGTAAATTATTAAGAAAAAAATAATAATAATTCTACATTTTTATTATACTATAATTTTTGATATTGTTTATTCTTCATTAATTTCCCATGGTTTCTCTGGTCGTAACATATCCCATGGCATAGGTTTTTTATATACTTCTGATTCTTCCAACTTTATGCCACCTTTAACTACTTCATCTAAGAATTTTTGCACTTTTCCTCCTGAGGCTGCTTTAATATCGCAATACATTTCAGTAATTCCAGATTCGAGGCATCGTTGAGCAAATACTCTTCCTAAATTGATATATGCACATGTGTCATTGATACTATATAATTGTTGACGGAGTGCCCACTCTGATGTTTTTGCTTCTATGACTGGACCATTGAGGAAGTGGACAACTTGAGCAGTTACAGTACGATTACTAGGTGTAAGGACTAATCTAAAAAAAAAAAAATATAAAATAGAATTACAATTTTAAATACAGATTAGTAGCCTTGAACAGACATACTAACTTGTGCCAAAATTTACGACCAGGTTTATCCAAATGATAACCGTCTGGTTTGCGAGCAATCCTCATTCTTTCTAAATTTCTGGGATTCCTGTTAATAAATTCTGGTATCGTTGAACTAAATCTGACCCACATTTGTGGTTGTAATGAAATTATTCGCAAGGAATTCATTGCGCCTTTTAGTGTATAGTACTTGTATTTTTTATATTAACTATTATCTGTTTAATATTATAGAACACTTATTAATTTAAAAAATATTTTCTAAACAAACTATATAATAGTTCGTATTATTGGTAAGTTAACCTCAAATTCGCAATTTTAATTGATGACAAGGGATGACAGTTTCTTGACGGATACAATACAGATAAATAAGTACTTCACATTAGATTAAAAAATATTTTTTAAATATTCAGCATGTTATTACTATTTGGCATTTACTACGATATATTTCAAATAATGTTAATTCTTTAACTAAACTTATTCGAAAGTACTATATAATGCTTTTTTGTCAATTTTCAACATAAATTTGATATTTTTCGAATAAAGTTTGACTAGAGTCAAATTGGCTTAATTATATAATTTAAATCTATATATTTTAATCTATCAAAGCATATAGAAAATCTACAAAACACATTATATTTGTATCCATAGACGTATTTATATAGTGTAAAGTACTGTCATTACCACTGACTAATAAAGGAATATCGTATGCACTAGTGCATACAAAATTCCTTACAGTAGAACCACGAAATGTACTACTGCCAGATAATAGTGCTGTGCCAACTGATAATTCAGTCAAATATCAGTTGGCAGCATTATTAGTAAATAGGTACATCACTGAAAATGACGTATATTGTTTCTTGATCGCCCACCCACACGTCTAGTTTGATTTCGATAAAAATATTGTGAATATAGTTATTCTAAACACGTTTTGTTGTGTTATATCATTTCGGGCTATGTGGCGATTTTTATATTATGTGCGCAGCTCGCATTTCACTGTGCCCGTAGTTTATTAAAGTGGTTTTCTTGACGGGCGTGAACGTATGGGACAGTTAGATGTTTTGTAATTAATTCATACGCCCACCAGCTTGTGACATTCTGATACTATCTGTTGATGTGCGGTGTTTTGCATGGCAGAAAATAGTTGATAAAGTTGTGACGATGTCGCTACAGAAAAGTGTTAAGAGCAGCAATGGAGGTGATAGGAGTGATCTGGCGGATACAACCTCGATATGTTCTTCTGTGACCACACAGCCTGATAGGCACGGCTTTTTTGGTGGTGCTCAATACAGTCCAGAACCGTGAGTCAATGTTTACATACCTTTTTGGCGATAATTAACCTGTTTTGCAATTATAGTTTATGTTGTTTAATGATTCATGCAGTATCTATGCAATTTTCCGGAAGTATGTATTTACAGGTAGACATTAAAATTCAGCATTATTATAATTTCAAATTTTGTACCACCAATAAAAAAACAAATTTCAATTAAGATCTATTTATTTCCGATTAACACATGTCTAATTTCTTTTCTATGCAACTTTGAAGAAAAATAGTAACCATCACCTATAGACATGAGCTATACATGGACAACAGAGTATATTGTTTCGTCCATGATACACCCCATGCATTGCTATTCCTGAGAACTGTGTTATTCCTCTGTGCCCTGTAAATTAACTGACATATCCCACTCTTCTAACCAATACACAGCCATACAAAAATAACTGCTTCACAGTAGAAATGGAACAGAGGCCAAGCAAATTACTTTTTCACAAAGTCTCCCTCTGGAGAAATCCTATCTATTGCAAAATAGAATTATCGAAATTGGTTAAAGAAATCTTTATTTAATTTGATAAACAATAGTCTAAACAAGGTTAGATCCACAATTTTGTTTGTGAAATTGGGAAAAGTTCTTTGTCATAAAAAATAGTTTATGTCATTTTGCCACTCAAATATTGTGTATGTACCAAATTTCATAATGATTAAGTTGACGAAGCTAATAAAATATACTTTGTCCTCTACCCAAAATTTGTCTGGAAGAGATTGTATAGCAAAAATGCCGCCTTTTGTATTACTTCACATTAATGTTTTACTGTGTTCTTTATTTTTGTAACTGTTGCAATAAAATGTAAAATAAATAAATAAAATAATTCCACATACTTAATATTAAAAGTTTTTTGTGAAGTAACTTCATTATCTACAAAAATACTTTTCATCATGTCCTGAATTGTACCTAGTCTTTCCCACATGAGGTAAATATTTTTTTTTTACACTTGCATATTTACATCTATAAATTTTTCTTTCTGGAGTACAATTTGCCATAATGTCAATTTGTAAAATGTCATATAAGTATAGTAAGTATTAGTACTGTTTCCACTTTTTATTGTACACACACTGCCTGCTGGTAATTAATGCTCCTTTTTACTCAAGGTTTGCTGGAATAGAACTCTTACAGAGTTAAGCTCACCTGTTATACATTTTCATTTAATATAAATTATAACAATGACATTTTTGTGTACAATAACCAATAAATAAATAAATGTCATCTTTCTAAGTGCTTTATATATATTATCAAATGTACATATTGGATTGTAATTGTATTTATTTACCAATTTATGAAACTCTTGACATATACTCTAGACATTAAAGCCTAGATTGAAACTAATATTATGAAGAGGAAAAGTTTTATTTTATGTTTGTAATGAATAAATAAAAAAATACTAAACCTGTTTTAAAATTTTTTTCATCTATGGAAAGTTATATTATCAGTAAGTGTTATGGCCAATATTTTATTTTAAAAAATTTGTGCTCAGTTTGATCATGTATGAAAGTATAGTAGTACACTTAATGAAAGGAGGAGAAAGGGATTGTTAGTAATGGGGTCTAATAGCCCCATTGCTAGCAATATACCCTCTCATGTCGACCTCCATGTGGTTCCCCCTGGAAACCATCATGTTTAATTCTTGTCGAATTCATCATGGTGGGGCAACTGATCTGCATTCATTCTTACCTGTCATCTTTCACTAGTGCCTCATCGGTGTATAACAATAGTGTGGGCAGGGTTACCATTCCATTTTCATCCATGAAAACAAAAAATTCAAAACTCCTAAAGTTAACATACTACAAATCATTGGTATACACTGGTGCCCTATGAAAGCAGGTCAGTTAGTCCATTGTGATGAAATCAGCTAGTCAGGGGGAACCACGTGGAGGTCAACCTAATAGGCTATATTGGCCATTATACCCCATTACTAACAATTCCTTACCTCTGGAGTTTTGGGTGGAGAATAATAAGTCATTAATTAATTATACATTATCCATTTGCAATTCTTAATGTACAAAGATAATTATGATACACATTTGTCATAGAATATAAAAATATCTTTAATTATGAATTACATTTCTTGTATATTACAAGGAGAAATTATGGTAGAGATATAAATTTATATGGAGTAATATACAAGGACAATAACAATAGGTACTTGTAAATTAACAATGTACAAGGACAAATTATGATACTTGTACATAATAAACATGAATATGGTAAAGTTTTATCCTATACAAGGTTTCTTGAAACAAATGATAATGATATATGGCCATGACCTTAACGCTGAATGAAGTTTGAGACTATTGGAATAACATTTATTCAAGGTATTTAACATAATATGAAATATATATTGTGTGTATAGTCTATTACAATTTGTTTTTCTATATTTAGCATAGCACATAAACAATCTTAATATAATTTTTATGCATGATATTGAAGTAGTACCCAACTTACGCTATTGGCATATGTTGGTGAGGTTCTAGTGAGAGTTCACCAGGAATTAAGGATTAATCAAAATCTTTTCTAGGGGAGACTGCATGAAAGTTTATCAAAAAAGCATATGCTGATGCCTTTTCTTATATTCATAAGCATATTTACGAGAGGACTGGGTGGGCCATGTCCATGCTAGAATTGGATGTGCACCTTTTAAAGGGGTCTACGCCTTCTGGAACTTAAATACACCAATGTGTACATTAAACATGCATAAATATATAAATTGTAGAAAAACCAATTTAATAAATGTTATAAGTATTTATATAGATAACTATTGACAGGTTATTTTAAATATAACTGGGTTTATTTAAATTCATACAATGCAGTATATCAATTAAATTAATATCATACTGATTTTCTTTTTGGTATTGGTTCATAAAAAATCGCGAAATATTAATTAGTGGATTCTAAATTTAGTAGTATATAAAAAACCTTTCACTGTGAATTGATGATTCTTATTTTAATTAAATAAAACACAATATTTACATGGCAATTATTTCTTTAAGAAGAATACTAAAAATCAAATTAAAACAATATATTTATAATTAAATACATATACAATACTAATTTTTTTTAATCTATGATTACTTTTGACGTAATTAAAACAAAATGAAAAATGTTACTTCGCAATATTTATTAATTTTATTTGAAGTAATTAACGAATTAAGAGGCATTTGTATTTATTTATTATAACTATCTTTGTTAATTATTTGTGTGTAGAAGGCTTAGTTCTCAATTTTATTTAGTCATCTTCTTTCTATTATATTTAGCCGTATTTACAAAGTTAGCGATAGTTGCTGATAGCGCAGGCGAGGTTACCATTTCGTTTTTACTCATTAAAAAAAGTACGAGTACCTACTGTTTCTATATTTGTTTCTACATATTTTACATATGTAATAATAGGGCACAAGCCGCTCCAAGCCATAAAGATACCATCAATATTCTCACGGAAAAGTATTGTCGTTTTGCTTAAAATTCTCAAGCTCCATGAACAAAGCTCAATGATAATTAAAATATAAGGCTTGATTTTGCCATCTCGAGCAAATATATTTGCCACCCTTGGTAAGGACATATTGGAAATATTGTATTGTATTGTAAAAATCTTTATTGTACATAACTCAGATTAAATACTAGTAAATGATTTAATATACAATGGCGGACTTATCCCATAAAGGGATCTCTTACAGTCAACCTTTGAGAAGCTGAAAGAAAACTGTAGAATCTATAAGGGTAATAACCGTACAATTAAAGATAATATATACCCAGTAAAAAAAATTGAATATATAACACAATAAAAACAGCTCTATATACCTACATATGTAAATAATAAAAGTAAATTAATAATAATATAACATTAATAAATAAAAACTTATACACATATTGGAAATATATTAAAGAAAGACCTCTAAGGGCCTACCATGAAATATTTTCCGAAATTTCGAAGCCAAACGAGACACAAATTTGATGTTAAAGTTACATAATACAAGCCGTTTGGAAATATTAAAAATATTAAAATATTTTTCCTTTGGACTTTTATAATAGAATGTATGAAGAATGAAATGTTCAACTTCATTTATTGGTGCGATTTTGATATAAACAAAAACACGAAATTGAGTCCGAAATTTCGGAATTTCATTTCATGGTAGACCCGCTGATCTCAGTGAATTCGATTAGTTCACAATGGATTGAATTTTTAACCATCAACCGTTATAAGCCTTATTTTTTGCCGCTCTGGGCGATTGCCTAGTTCGCCTTCCCCTAGATCGGGCTGTTAAACTATATAATGTATGTACATAATTCATGTAGTTATCTAAAACATGTGTAGGTAGATGTGTTATTCGATGTCAAGGGGAACATTATGTGATTATTTGCTCAAATTTCATAATATCAATAGTCATCTAAAACCAGAACTAGGCGTGTCGCACGACAAATGTAAATACCTACTTAAGTAAACTGTGAGCACAAATATTGGTATATGCTTTAGATTTTTTATCACATTTTAGTTTTGTTTTGCAAGCAATGGGAACGCTAGACCCCATTACTAATAATTCTATTCTATCAATGGTGAAATAGATTAGGCTCTCATAATTGTACCTTTAATATACTCAAATGTGTTTTTTTTTTGGGTGAAAATGGTATAGTAACCCCGCCTGCGCTAACGGGATACGCTGGCGGAGCACCAGTGAAGGGTGATAGATGAGAATGAAAACAGGCCAGTTAGCCCATCATGATGAATTCATCAGGAATTAACCATGATAGTTTCCAGGAAGAACCGCGAGGAGGTCGACCTGCTTGGGTATATTGCTAGCAATGGGATTCTCAGCCTCCATTACTAACAATCCCTTTCCCCCCACTCAAATGTGGTTAGATTCAGATGACTGGAATGCCTACTAGTTTCGAACTCAATTATTTTCCAACCCTCATCCCAATTATTATTTGGGATCGGCGTAATATGTTTTTCTCTTCCATTCTTCTCTATTCGC